TGAATTCAACTATTTTTTTTATTAGTTTGGGTAAGTACAATATAATTAAAAGCAACTCTTAGTCATTTGACATTGAATGTGAAATTCTTTTTAAATGAAAGATGTATTTGTGTTTTTTCCTGTAGTACATAAGAAAGATAAGAGAGATGCTAAAGCTTTCTATAGCATTAATCATATCACCTTAAATTTTAGGGTTAGTTATCGAGTGAACCAATCATAAGTTGAGTAGTGTTCGACTCATGTTCGTTAAAAAAATTTATTATTTGAATTGACTCATTGCTCGTTAATTTTTTTTACTCGTGCTCGTTAAAAAACTTGTTGCTTGACCCAATTCGTTGCTCATTGCTCGTTATTCGACTTGTTTCTTGTTAAGCAATTTCAAAATCTAAACTCCAAATTAACAATCCACAAATACACCAAACTAACATATTAAAACCAAAGTAACATTCCACAAATACACCAAACTAACATATTAAAACCTAAGTAACAATCCACAAATACATTAACTAATATATGAAAAATATTCTTGAAAAATAATAATAATACATATGCAGTCCTAAAAATAAAGAAATCAACATCTCTCCACTCCATTATTGCTTGCAATAACCTACAAAATTGGGAGAATAATTTCCTTTGCTTGCACCACATAATTATCTTATCTATAAAAAATAACCATAATATCTTATAATAAGCAACTAAAATAAAATTGTCTATTTTTGATAAATAATATATGAGCTTGTGCTTGTTTTGCTAGTGATTGATGTTATCTTCATGTGTGTAACTTTGTGAGGTAACTGTGATGGTAGATAGTTTGAATGTGACCAGATTAGAGAACCGAGGTGAAGTTCTTGGGTTGTCATCTCGTTTTCAGTTTAAATATTCAGTGATATGTCGAGACTATGGAGTTAAAAAATAGAGAGAAGATCAAAAAAGAGATTAATTTCAAAAAAAGAAAAAAATAAAAGAAAAAAATAAACGCTTGGAAAAAATAGAGTAAGTGATACAAATTAGGGGGAATAAAACTCACACTCCACCAATCATTTATCATGAGGAAACTAAACTTGATTTGATTTCGTCTCACAAACAAATAGCAAAAGCTTTAAATATTTACCTCTTATTCATTTGGTTAATTGTTGTTTATAGGATTATCTTATCACTCTAATTTGATTATCTTGTCTAACCTCTTCTATTCATGCATATACTTGGGATATGCCATAAACTTTTGAATAAATCTTTTTCAAGTGATAGAAATGTGAATTGAAGTATGTTTGAGGACAATCATTGAATAAGTGAGGGAAATTTGATAAGTGTTTAATATTGCATATTTTTATTATTATTTACCTCTCATTTTTGCTTGGATATTACTGATTTATCTTTATTTTGGGTTTATTTTTAATAGGAGACTCATTGGATTAATTAGATAAAAAACCAACAAATTTCGACAGTCAATTTAATGTCTTCTAGAAGATGAGCATAAGTATTTTGAATATTTAATTTGAAATTAACCTGGGACTAGGTTATCCAGAGGATGCAGTAGAATTCAACAAGGACTATAAGACTTAAATAATTATTTTTATCTTTTGTGATAAACCTTGTAGATTTAGGATTTTTAGTTGTATTATTTTATTTAAGAATTAATTATTTTGATTATTTAGAGCTTCTAGTAGGATTTTTATTTTGATTATTTTATTTAGGATAGAAATTAGTTATTTTATTTACTTAGAACTCTCGAGTTATAAATACATCTTAGGATCAACATATTGAAATTTATTTTTCCTTGGTTAATTGTTGAAGTTCTGCTTTTCTTTCTTCTCTATTTTTTTTTTCTTTATTTTCTTTCATTATTTTCTTTTCACAATGTTAAGCATGCTCGAATCCATGCTTAGCTAAACTTCCACTTAGCAATAGGTTTTTGCGAATGGAAACTGGGAGTGGAAATCAACCATTCTCTTAAAAGTTATTACATCTTCAACTCAAAAGGTGCACGTTGATTTAAAGATTGTTTTGCTTGAAGTTTGGAAGTCAGATCGGTTGGTCGTATTTCAGCTTCCTGTGAGCAAACGTAGTTGCGGTCCGTTAAAGGGATTCAAGATCGAGTTTGATTCTCAGTGAAACGCTATAACTCGATTCAGGCTTTTCCAGAACTTAAAGCTATTTTGGATCTTACGGCGATAGGCGTGGTTAGATCAACAAGTACCAAATTTCAGAGATAGACTTGGAAATTTCGGTTAACCGAAGGGAAGAGTTAACTGCAGGGGTTGGGCCTTGTTGACTATAACCGACGTACATCACAAAGGGAAAATTTTATTTTCGATGATCAATTGAAATTGAGGCTAACCAAACCTAAGACTATATCATCTCTATTGAATTATTCTATTTTATTTACTTTATTTATTTCTAATTATTTTTTATTATTCACTTTCATTAATTTTAAAATCCTCCTCTTTTATTTTTTTACAGTTGATTCAATCTGAGAAACGACATTATCAAACTTTCTTAATCTCTGTGGATCGATCCTACTTCTCTATACTACTTTATTTATTTATTTATTTGAGAATTATAAATTATTTTTATTTGGCAAAATCTACGCTTTTCAAGAAACCTAGCATGTAAGACCTTCTTTTAAAAATGTTTCTAAGAGAAAGATTAAACTTTTAGAACTTATTCATACTGATCTAACAAACTTAAAAACTCTGAGTGTAAGAGACGAAAATACTACTATATTACATTTGTAGATGACTTTTCAAGATATAAAAAGATATATCTCCTTAGAACTAAGGATAAAGTTGAGAATTTTTTCCTTATTTATAAAGCAGAAATTGAGAATGAGCTTGTTAGGAGAACAAAATGGGTTTTAAAGCATTTTCTAATTGGGTAATAAAAAGGATCAAAATGGTCGTTGGATGTCTAAATACATAGTTTACTCTTAAAATAAGACTAAGAACATTATGATATTCCAAAATAGTATTCCAAGAAAATTATAAAAAATAGTAAAAGAAATTATAAAATTTATAAATAAAACATGAAACAATAATAATTGTAAAAAGTATAAAAACTTATAAAAATATAAAAATATTAAATTTATTGAAAAATGCATATGAAAATTTATTATGAAATTGTAAAAACATGTCACGCATTTTAGATTTTCTTCTGCCATCTTCGATGTCCATTAAATGAGTTTCTATCATGTTTGAAACTAGTTAATGTTCGATTATTTATATATATAAATATATATTCTCTAGCACGTGCCAACCAAAAATTCATTTTTCAATAAGTTTAAAACCTATTTATTTTATTTAGATGTTTTAGGTCCGAGCACAATATATAAAAAGATGTTTAATATTTATTATCAAATAATTGAGAAGTTTTTGAATAAATATTGTATTGTAATCACTTTATATTAATTAATATATATATTCTCTGTTTTTTATAATTATTATATTTTTACAATTTTTACTTTTTAAAATAATTTTTATGACTTTCATAATATTTCATATGTTTTCCAATTTTTTATATTCTTTAGTTTTAAATTTATGTTTATAGGTATACATTTATTATAATATTGTTACAACTTTTACATTTTAAAATAATTTTTATATTTATTAATATTTTATATTTTCATTTTTTAATGTTTTAGATTTTTAAAGAATTAATTGTTTCGAAAATTTTGCCAAAAAAGTAATGATATCATTTAAAACAAAATAAATATCCTCATAATTATCGAAAGGACAAAATAGATTAAGTCAGCATAATAGCTCCGTTACCCTTTCTGTCGATCTTACCCAATTTTACAAAAATTAAAAACCCGAGTGTCAAAAGATACGGGAAATAAAAATCAAGGACCAAAATGAAAAGAAAGTTACAAAGTTTAAGCGCAGACAAGTCATTATGCCTTTAACAAAATGAGGCAGAAATTCTTAGTCCCTTTGCAGATTTTCTTGTCGAGTGGTAGTTTTTCCAACCAATATGTAAAAAGATGGAACTTACCAAACTTAATTCAATAATCATGTGAAATACATGTTAAAAGATGAATCTGATTCATGAGAATGGGTCAAATTCAAACAAAGATCGGGTGAATTCACTAAAGGTCTGTTTGTTTCACTGAAAATATTTTTCGGAAAAAGTTTCCGTAAAATAAATTATATTTTTTAAAAAACGTTTTACTGTTTTCGAAAGAGGTTGTGTAAACCAATTTTTACAATTTGATGAATTTTTTAGAAATTATTTATTACAAATATTTAATATCATAAATAATATTATTTATCATAAAAAATTAATATTATTATTATTGAAATATTAGAATAATTTATTCATTATTATTAAAATATCATTTTTGTAATTTTATAAATAACAATATTAAGATTAATACATTCTATTGAAATAAAAATATTATAATTATATTAATTATTTATTAAAGTAAATAATTAATAATTTAATAATATTATATATATGAAATTAATAAATTTTATTAATTATTAAAATAAAAATATAATATCTTATATTATTATAATATAATTGACTATATTATTATAATATTAAAAATATAATATTATATTGTTAGTTATATTAATAAATATATTTTAATAATTAATATTTGGATTAAATATATTAAAATATTATATTAATATTAAATGTATAAAATAAAATTATTTTGAGTATATATTATTTGAAGTGAAAAGTTCAAAAAATGACATAAAAAATCAAACCATAAGTTATTTTCCAAAAAATGCAAAGAGAATTCTGTTGAACAGAAAAATATTTTACTTTGACCAATCAGTTTTCCACCAACCAAACATTGAAAAATGAAGAAAATGTTTTACGTGAAACAAAAAAACCTAAAATTAAACTTCCTTAGGCAGCCATGGCAACATAGACTTCTTGAAACTGTTTAGAACATAATTTTTACAATTAATTTACATTTGTAATGATCAGCATCAATGGCTTCATGGACTAATGAGTAATGACCAATCTGGTCCAATCAGATGCATTAAGCAGTCCCAACAAGCAATACCACAGCTTCGGAAGTATACGAGCACACCTTGCAAACATAAGTGCTCGAACTTTGATCTTTTAGAGATAACAACATTCACTTTTACTACAGATTAGCCTTAAAATTTACAACGGGGTCGGCGACTAGCAGATCGGACAAGTTGGTTTTGATAAACTCCTTGTGTGGGCTCGGTTTTTGAAGAATTAAGGTGGCATCTAAGTGTCTAATCTCATAACCAGCCTCATTCATGCATGAGTCTCACCTGAAATGAACTATGCTTCAGAGGATGACCATGATTAATCTAAATGCACTGTAAACAGAGGAACCAAGTCTATATTCCTGGAATAGAAGATGTAAACAATGATGGCACAGAATGATAAACTTGACCATATTACATAATCCAAATTTAGTTTGGCAATCACGGATTAAGTAATCTTTTTACAACAGCTAACAGCCAAGTCCCTGAAATTAGTTCCATAATAGGCATAAGGGCAACAATCATTCATTCAGTTAACGGCCTAGATTGACATCAGAAAGGATTCTCCAGTATGAAAACCGTACGAGACAACTTCCAGGCAAGACATAGCATAAGATATAATATAGCAGTTCACTTAAAGGCCTAGATTGACATCAGAAAGGACTCTCCGGTATAAAAACCGTACGGAAACCCGAACGAGACAACTTCCAGGCAAGGCATATAGCATAAGATATAATATAGCAGTTCACTTAAAGGCCTAGATTGATATCAGCACATAGCATCACTTTGGACGTCAGGTATGATAAAGGATCTTCCAGCACATAAATGAATATCTATCTATAGTTCAGTCGAGAATATAAGTTGATGCAGTTTCCAACCACAAACATATTAGGTTGTTTGAAGGTCGAATCGTGGTTGGTGAGGTTACTGTCAAAATTCTGCAGTGAAAGAATACCATATATACATACAAGTAAAAAACAAACCATGTTTAGAAGATGTATCCACGTGTAGAATCACTTGCACAGGCTGCATAGAATATAAGGATAGATGAAGTTTCCTTTATCATGTACATGCACTTACAAATTAGTGATAAAAGTCCAATATGACATAAATCTCATTTTCAACATTAAACAAACAACAAAGCTGTTCTGAAGAAAAGGATTCATTCCCTGTCAGGTTCATTGTATCAAATAAAGTACTAAGGTTCATTGCATCTTGGTTGGGAAGTCACTATCAGAATCAAAACCAAAACATCAAAGTTCAGCTCCAATGCAGCACTTCATATGCAGTTCATTGGATCAACTTACTCTGCAGATGAATATAAAACAAAGTACTGAATGCTCGAAACTCGAAAATCGATTTTCATTTATAATCGGATTGAATTAATCAGTGATGGCCCTTGAGAGATCAAAATGCAGTGCTGTATCATATACGGATTGAATTAATCAGTGATGGCCCTTGAGAGATCAACATGCAGTGCTGTAGACAAACCCACTCAAACAGTTTCTTCTTTTATTTTTATCACATTAACAAGGCTAAAAAGGACATGTTTCATAAAATCTTAATACTTGTCACCACCTAAAAGACCTCGGTAGTAAAAGAATTATTGTTATTCCTTGAGGTCCCGTAGAGTTTTTGTTTAAATTTAGTTGTAAATAATTATAATGTTATGGTACTAATGGATTCTAATTTAAACGATTTTCTATAACTATATATGATAAATATTTCGTCATATTGTTTCATACATGATATACATACATCACGCAAAGTTGAGAGACTCAACTTGGACTTGAAAACCAATCAACTAATTACTAAAAATTTCGAGTTATTTGAGTCTTATTTTATAACTCAAACTTTATTTGAGTTATTTTTCGAATTGAGTTTATGAAATTACGAGTCAAGTCAAATTTTTAATATGAAATCTAGTCGAATCGAAAAATTCGATTTTTCTACTCGAATCAAATTCTACTCACCCTATTCCCAATATTACACTCAATATAAGCCAAGGCCCAGATGACACAGAAAAATTTTATAATAAGGCAATGGCCAATGAAACAGTCGTGTATTCCCTCTGATTTAAAGGTAACTAGCAGGGAACCAAACACCCAGCAATAGAAGAATCCACCGAAAAACTTAAGGGTAAATTATGAATGTAATACCTAAACTATCAGTTTTGATCCATTGTAGTATCTGTCTTTCAAAATCATACATAAAATTTAGTCTTTGTTTCATTTTAATAGCCGTTCAAAATTTAAACCCAAAAAACATGATAAATAAAGGAATATCTCAAAATTACCCAGAATCTAAATCAAAGAAATACTTACATTTTTTTATGAAGGTAGAAGATGCAGCCCCTATTCACTTAGGGTCAGAGTCTGGAAATATCTGCAACATAATGAAGCACCACATCGCCTGCAACATATTAATCCACCCATGAAGTTGGCATCACAATCAAATTGTGGAAAATTTCAAATCGGAGAAATTTAAGTGAAACAGGAAAAGAATAGACGAGAAAGTACCATCAGAATGAGCCTCACGCCCTCTATCATGAGGAATATTTACTGCAACTGAAGTAGCTGCTGGTGAAATTGAATCGCAAAGTGGAGAAGCAGATGATGATGATGATGATCGCCGTTGAAATCCTTGACTAGGCAGAAAACGAGCTCTGTTTTTTTGTTGAATAGTTTCAAGATTTTCAGTTTCGCTGTTGACTCAGTTTGTGGTCATACTTAATAGGTTAAACTACATATCCAGTCAATCAATTATTTGTCAAATTATAAGCCGTTTACATTTTCTCCAACAATTACAATGTAGTCATTTAGTTAAAAAATTATTACAAACATGTCAAATTGTCAATGTATATGTTATTTTTAAATAATAGACGTAATATTCAAGTGGTATGATATATTAATAGTTTTAATCTTAAAAATTTATATTTTAATATCAATTTAATCTTAATTTAAAAAAAATTAATTTAACTTTTTATATTTATATTTTGGTAAAAAGGCATAAGAGGTTTTTGTACTTTTTTTTAAAAAATCGTTGAGACCCTTATATTATTTTCTCAATATGACCCTTCAACTCAAAAAATAAATTTAATATGGCCCTTTGACCAATATTTTTTCGTCGTTGATCGTTACGATACTGACATGACAATTTATAGTGCTGACATGACAGTTTAAGATGTTGATGTGACAATCCATATATCATGTTTGAGTTACAAATTTAACCCATCAATCATATCATCTACCACATCATCAACCACCGTGGACTACCACATCAACACCAGGGACAGTCACGTCAGCACCGTATTAGTCAACGATGAAAAAAATTAGTCAAAAGGTCACATTAGGTTTATTTTTTGAGTTAGAGTGTCACAATGAAGAAAATAATAATATGAAGGTCACATTAGTTTTTTTAAAAGTACATAGACCTCTGATACATTTTTACCTTATATTTTTGGGTAAACTACTTCAAATACCACTTACCTTTAAGTTCGGACTTGAAAATATCACAGACCTTTTAATTTTGTCAATTTTATCAGTGATTTTTATACTTCACTACAATTATGCCACCCTGTCGTTAATGTCTTAACGACATGATGACATGGTATCTCCACTCCGTGACATTGTTGACATGACTCCCTCTCATCAAAACGACGTCGTTTTGACGCAACTATTTTGATGCTCAAAAACTTAAAACAACGTACTTGATGAACAAATACTAAACACCCAACCACCAAACTAATTTAATAACCTTATATTCTTAACAAAAACTAATATATATGTTTAATCGTAGTTGTATACTTCTTCTCAACTCTCATCTCTTTCTTCTCCGACGTTTTCAACAATGGCATCCGTCGAGATCCTCCACTTCGTCCTTATTGACCAAGGCTATCCAGTAGCAAGTCTCAAATCTGGATAATACACAAACCGTACAATGTTAAAAGATAATTCATACGGGAAAACAAAAATTGCTCGTGGAAATGCTAAATTTCTAATAGCATTTGGCCGATCATTTCTGACAAATGACCCTTTGAGGGTGGTAACAGGGCCAGTAAGCATTCCCTTCATTGGCGGAGCAGTCATGCCTCGGGCAGTAGGTGACCAGAAAACAGTCATTGGGTTGGGGCGGCTAACATCACCAAAAATGATCAGCAGGTCTGTTTGTGAGATTTTGAAGGCCCTCGGTGAAATAAAAAATTAGGTAACTAATCAAATGTTTAAATTATAATTTGTATTTGTGTCTTTAATCACGTTATGTTTATCGTTATGGTGAACATAACATATGATATAATAGTCACTGCAAGTATTGTGGTTGCAGATTTTTAATAACATATATTATTATGAACATAACGATTGTTGATATCGCAGTTTTGGACGATGTTGATACCATTGCATATTAATCATTGTTGTGGTTGTATACCACTATTTAAGTAATTTTTCTTAATAATAAGTGTTGAAAAAAATAAATTTTAAGGTGGCTTCATAATAATAAATAGGGATGGACATGGGTCGGGTCGGGTCGAGTTTTTGTTCAACCCGACCCGACCCGAGAACAATAAGTCCTCCACCCGAGACTCAACCCGATCCGACTAAAACAGGTTTTAACCGGATCCGAACCCGACCCGATATATAACTTAAAAACCCGACTCGACTCAAAATAGTAAAAAAAATATTTTTATTCAATAAAAACAACAACTTAATTGAAAAAATAATATATAAAGGGGTATTATTTTAATTATTTCTAAATATATAAGGTAAAATTATATTTTTTTGGGTCGGATATTTTTGACCCTAAACCCGATCCGAACATCACATTAAAAAAGCCTATCCAACCAAACCCAAACCCGAATTTTTTTAAAAAAAAATACGACCCGATTGGGTCGGAACCCGTCGGATTCGAGTCCCATGCCCATCCCTAATAATAAGTATTAAAAATGCATTGTTAATAACAAATATTAAAAAAATAAAATTTAAGAGTACACTCGTAATAATAAATATTTAAAAATTGAACCTCTAATAAAAAATACTAAAAAAATTAGATTCATAACAACATATAAATATTAGAAAAATTAAATTTTAAAAGTATGTCTATATTGTTCCATCGACAAGAGGTTGTTCACCTTGGAGACCTGATGCGATTATAAGTACAACCGAACACGAACGATACTCGATCCTTCGGATTTTCAAGGGCTGTCAGGAGAGCATCGGACACCACGCGACCCCTAATAACAAATATTAAAAAAAAAATTGGACCTTGATAATAAATATTGAAAAATTGAACCTTAGAAAAAATAAGATATCGGCCAAAAATTGGGCACTTATAAAAATATTAAAAAAATAAATTATAAAAATTGGGACTTAATATTAAAAATTAAAGAAAAAAACTCATAATAATAAATATTATGAAAAAATTGAAATCATAATAACAAATATTTTAAATATTTGGGCCTATAACACATTATAAAAATTCTGGGTCATTGGCAGGTACCTCTCATGTCCAGGCCCAGAAGAAACACTGATGATCGGTAACTTCACACATCGAGATCCATATGATTGCACCTGTCCGTTAACAGTGAAAGCAAAACCGGACAACTGCTCACCAAAGTACTCGATCATGTCTTTTCTCTGCACGATTTTAAGTAGGAGTTGATTATATGTTGCTAAGAACTAGACATGGGCATATCTCCTTCACTTCAAGATAACAAAACAAAAAGGTATACTCACCTCGGGTTCTCCATGAACCAAGACATCAATGTCAAGCTCTTCCTGAAGGTCGACAACCTTCTTAATTTCCTCCTCGGTGTCTTTAACGTAATCATCCCTGGAGATCCTGAAGGGAGAGAGCACTAGTTAAAAGATGGTTCCGATTGACATTTTACAATAAGGATAAGGGGATTTTATCCAAAAATCACTCTAAAATTAAAATAATATGATCGGTCACCGTTTTTTAAATTTTATCGATCTACCACTCTTTCTTATATAAAAACGCGTTTTAGGAAATGAACTATCCAGGGATTTTGACGATGTAACGCTACACCTAAAAATCTCTTTTTAAGAGACGCGCTTTCCACTAAATATAAATTTATAATTTAACACACCAAAGGAACGCTATAGTTTTAGTCTTACCATTATAAATTTCTAGATTTAGTATTTTACTTTTAATTATCAATATAATTTAAAAATAAAAGGTTAACCTGGGGACAACGACTTTGTATAGAGAATATGCATTTTTATTGTACTTAAACATATTATTTTCTTTTATTTGCGAGAAACATAATTCTTTTATTGATATTTGATTAAAAAAACAAAAAATACGTGAAAATCTACTTTACATTTTCTATATTTTGAAGATTAGTTTTATAGGGATGGTAATTTCACCCGCATTCGACGGGTCTCTCAACCCAATCGGATTAGATTTTTTAAAAAATTCAGATTCGGGTGGAGGGTGAAAAAACTCTGACATGGCCTGACCTGAGGATAATAATGTAATTTCGTTATACAATTATTATTTTTAATTAAATCCTTAATTTATATAGGGTCGAGTCAGATTTATACTCTAAAAAACCAGGTCGAGTTAGAGTCGGATTGAGGATATATATTTTTGGGTTGGGTCGGATCAGACGTAGGATATATTAAAACCTTAATTTAATTATAATTAAAGAACCCTAAACCCTCCATCCAAAACTGACCCAACCCGTCAAATACGAATATAAAACTAATATTAAAAAAATAGAAAATGTAAAGTAGATTTTCACATAATTTTTGTTTTTTTAATCGGATATCAATAAAAGAATTATGTCACTCACAAATAAAATAAAATAGTATGTTTAAGTACAATAAAATGCATATTCTCTATATAAATTCGTTGTCACTCGGTTAACCTTTTACTTTTAAATTATATAATAATTAAAAGTAAAATACTAAATCTAGAAATTTATAATAGTAAAATTAAAACTATAACATTCTTTTGGTGTGTTAAATTATAAATTTATTTTTAGTGGAAAGTACGTCCACTAAAAAGAGCTTTTCAAATGTAACGTCACATCATAAAAATTTCTAGAAAATTCGTTTCCTAAAACGCACCTTTATACAATTTTATTAAAACAAGATGTTAGATCGGTAAAATTAAAAAAAAATAGTGATCAATAGGTATTATTTCAATTTTAGGGTGATTTTTAGGTAAAGTCACCTGAAGATAGAGAGGAAACTTTCCAGATAACTCACGTCTTAGCCTTGAATTCACGACGAGCTCTCCTCATTTCCAAGGTTTGAGGGAAGGAGCCAATGGTTGTGGTGGGGATGATTGGCAGGTTAAGCTTTTTCTACTGGGCATCAAGAGTGGAGAAGAGAAGAAAAATAAAAGAAAAAATGTCATATGACAGTGTAATTTAGGATTAATTTACAACGGATTTTAACTTAAAACTCTATCTTGTCTAATCAATGAAGTTATGTAATTAATAATAATTTTATTTACAAAAGGAAAAGTTATATTATAGTGGATTTTAACATAAAATGTTATATTTATATTCTAAAAAATTACATAATTAATAATGATTTTAGTTATAATCAAGACTGTCATCACGAAATATTTTTAAATTATAACCGAATTAATTATGGGTTGAGTTTCTCAAAGTTAATTAGCTTTAGTTTGTTGGTTTCCCTTACTTTTTCCTCGTGTTTTCTC